TGGCTGATCTTAGATGAAAAGAGCCTCAAAGCCCCCCTCCTCCAGCCTTTTACGAATCTACAAAGTGAGCCTCAGTCAATGCTACCTGCAGAGACTTGGCCAGTGTTCTGCTCTTGAACCAGATTGGTATTTAGAGAACTCTTTTCTTTCCTTTCTGGCAGAAGGTCAACGCCATCCCCAGAATATCGCCTCCTTGGGAATAGCCAGGATTCTATCAGTTGGAAATGGTACCTAGTTGCAGCTGTGACTATGCTTACCCTAAAAACTGGCACGGGGGCTTGTTAAAATCCCATTAGCCAAAACCCTGGCTTGGCTCAAGGAGATGCCAAGACCGAAGCTTGCTGGTGTTTAATTAGAAAATTGTATGGACACCACATCAGGAAACCTGGGACAGTGGAGACTTAATGGTGACGACATGGGCTTGGGATAGACCTGGCTTCAAATCTTGACTCTAACAAACTGTGTGACTCTGAGCAAGCCACTTTACTTCTCTGATCCTCTGTTCCCTCACCTATAACACGGATCATAATGATGGTATCAGCTCATAGGGTTCATGAGGATTGAATTACATAATGTGTGTAACATATCTCATGCAATTGTAAACAAGGATGTGGGCTGTTACTATCATACTGTAACTGAATTTACAGGCGTTTGAAACGTGCTCTTTTAAATCTTGGGCACAGCTCGCTTCAGTGCTGGTTTGTGAAGAAGATTAGGTTGGCCACTCAAATTCTTTCCATGCGGTTCTGGTTCATGCTGAGGCCCTGGGAAATGTGTGAAATCAGAAAACTTTGTCTCCAGATACCCTTTTCTATTAGCTCGTCTCCACTGTGTGGCACCCCGTTTCTGCAGCCTTGAGCTTCAAGTGCCTGTCTCTCCCCATTCCCTCCTCATCAGCAAAAACTGATAAGATCATTTAAACTAAGGTGTAAGTGACTGTCCTGCCCAGGGCTACAGTAGTCATTTTTAACAGGATATGAAGGCAATGAAACAGAGTAGGTGGGGTTTCAGGCATCCATCAGAGTAATACGGGGGTGGGGGGGAAGTTTTAGGGGACAGGAGGCTCTTCCCAATGCCACAGAGTCACTGTCCACTCATAATACTGGCCCCATTAGTGCAGCCATAAACAAAGTATTTCTGTATTCTATTTCTGCATCCTGGAGCTAGAAAATCAAGTCTGCAGCCTTTGCAAAAGTGTCGTAATAAAGGAATTTGTGCACCAAGTTTTTATACTAACCTCCTCTTGGTAAACCGACACAGCTCCTGCATGCCAAGGTCCCTTCCAGTTCTGCACATCTATGATACTCCCCCTCAAATGCATTTTTTCTTCAGAGCTCAAGGGTGGGGTTGGCGTTTTTGCCTCACTGGGTTTGTGGGAGACCCAGCTGCAAAATCATTAATTGCTTTGGTGAGTCAACAAATAAACAATGACAGTCAGCTACTATTCCCATACTGCAAGGTCATAAGAAGTTTCTGGACTTCTCTGCAAAACCTTGTTAAAAAAAGGATCCTCACGGCCCTTAAAACTTCTTTAGTATGGAAAATTACAAACATATGCACAAGAAGAGAGAATTGTGTAATATATCCCCCCATGAACATATCACTTCACTTTGATAATTACCAACTTAAGGTTTATAATGTTTTATCCATACCCCTGCTTACCATCGTCCCCGGATAATTTTGAAGAAAATTTCACTTACAGATGAAATATAATCTCATCTGTAAATATTTCAGTAATTACACCTTCTTTATGACCAACATAGTACATCTTTCCAGGGGAGAAGAACTTCCTACCTCCCCCCATGATGCCAAGAACATTTGACCAGTCTGCATCTGTGTCCCAGGGCTAGTCTCTAAGTTAGTCAAGCTCAAGGGTTTGGTGAATTCTGTCCAAAATCTGTCCTGCTCCCTGGGGACAAAGGGACATACATAAAATGTCACGCAGAGGCACTGCCCTGCGCAAGATTTTGAGTATTAGCTGAGCTGCTGCCCAATAACTGAAATGAGACCCAAACTAAGAGGCAGAAATCATCGTCGTGAATCCCAACTGGCCTCAGCATTTTTCACGGGTGTTATTGCATGCAGCTTTCACCAATTCTGATTTTACTTCTATCTTATAGATAAGAAAACTGAGCCCAAGGTCACACAGCTAGTCGATACCCAAGACAGAAACTGACTAGATGCTAATCGAACTCCGTTCTTTTTCATGGGCATAGCTGGATTACATTTCCCAGGTTCCCTTGCAGTCAGGTTTGGCCGTGTGACTGAGTTCTGGCCAAGGCAATATAAGCCAGTCCCATAAAAAAATAAAACATCCAGGGCAATCCTACATGTTCTCTTTCTTTCTCCATCCACTGGCTGAATGGAGAGAATTTCTAGGCCCAAGGGAGGATGGAGCCACAGGAAGGAGGGAGCCTGGAGGACTGTGTGGAGCAGATACCTCTCTGAACCCTCACTGGATTGTGAAGTGAGTAAAATAAATAAATAAATAAATAAATAAATAAATAAACGAACTTTTATTATGTTAAGCCATTGAAATATGGGTGGTGTGTGTTAGAGCAGTAAGCCTACCTTGACCAATACAGTGGCACAAATAGGATTAAACCCTAAGCTGACTATGCCAATGTTCAAAGCCTTGCCCTACACCACACTGCCTCCAGGTACAAAAAATCAGAATTGCTTATAATAATCTCCTACATGTTCAGCATTTGATTGAACTGCCTGTGAGGATCTCACATCTTAGGTTTGTGCTAATAGAGTAGCTGCTGATCACGTAGGGCTATAAAAAGTAAAATTTTTAAATCTGTTTCTTAATTGCATTGGTCACATTTCAAGTACTCAGTAGCCCCCATGTGACTAATGGCTACCACACTGGACAGTACAGGGAGAGGACATTTTCGTCATCACAGAAAGTTCCATCGGACCACGTCATATGTAGACCCAACATTTGCAATGTACCTTTCCCTGAAAATCCCCACAGAAGGGCCGGGGACGCAGAGGACAGAGGATGATCCACAGGCATAAGGGGCCTTTCCCCTGTAGGGGCCAAGAGCAGGTCGCCTAATATGTACCACAATGTCATATTGATTATTTTGTATTGATCTACTTGGGGAACAGCCAGTGCAAGGACACTCAGACCCTTCTCTGTCTCCCTAAAAGCAGGAAATAAATCTCACATATCAAAGGCAGCTTCCCTGCACTAAGAAGTAAAGAGACATTTTCATCATCAGAGATAGGAGCTTTAAAGGCAAGAAAACTATAGAAACAAAACTATTACTTTTTTACTAATCTGCTACCTCAGCCCAAATTCCGCTCAGAACTCCTTACTAATGAAAGCCCCCAAACATCTGTTTTCTTTATCCTATCAATTCCTCATATATTTATTGTCTCTTTGTCTGAAAAAAATAGAAAAAAACTGCCCACCTTGGTCATTTCTTTAGGCCTCAGTTTCATTATCGAGGCTCCCTAGGCACTTAATAAAACTTTGGGTTTTTCCTCCTATTAATCTGCCTCATGTAAATTTAATTCTGAGTCCAGCTCAAAGAACTTAAGGGTAGAGAAGAAATTTTTCCTTCCTTCAGCCCTCACCCAGACTTTGGGTCTTTGTCCCTGCCTTCCCCAGTTAATTTCCCAGCTATAAACTCGTGGCCCTCCTGTACTCAGGGTCACAGGCTTCGGTATGACTTCTGACAGAATGAGCCCTACCTGTTTCACTGGACTGTGTCTCCTGAGGGCAGGGCGGTACCTCATTCTTACCTCAACACCTGCGCACAAGGACCCAGGGCTGTGCTTCCTGGCCAAGGCTGGGGATTGACAGGGAATTTTCCAGAAGTAGAAGCCCAACCAAGGATGCCAAGTACGTGCGTCCATTTCCCACAGGGTAGCCACAGCCATCTTTCTGAAACGCAAATCCAACCATATTGCCCTTCGGTTGAAACCCTTCTATAAATCCTCATTGCCCTCACAGGTAAGCACACATAGCTTACATGTCTCATTTGTTATCCAATCCTTACTTCTTCTGCTTTCCCACCTTCAACTCCTGGAGCTCTTGATAGAAGCCCATGTTCCTACCGTATTAAAAATGATGCAGTTCTCTAAGTGCCCAGCTTTCTCTTACCCCTGTTTGCTCAAGCTGTTCTTTCCTCAAGAACTCTATGTACCTTTCCCACCTCTGCTTAGCTAGGCCTACATGTCCCCCTAAGCTTGGAAACACTTCTTCCAGGAGGTCTTACTTGCCCCTCAGCCTGGGACAGACCCCTCCAGTCCATCTCCCTTGACTCTCAGCCCTGACCAGCTATAGAACTTTCCACACTTCCAAGTCTTCCTTGAGAACAGGAAGGAGGCACTTGCAGTTAGGAATCTGTAGAGACTATCTTGTACAAGTTCTTGCCAAGAGATTGACCCTTCTGAGTCCCTCTAAATTATGAGCCTCCCTCCCCTCAACACACACACCCACACTCACACCCACATGTTTTCCATCCATTTGATTCCTCTGCAGAGTCACCAGGGAGGCAAGTGGAGCCCTGTAAATCTCTCACAAGCAGCGATGCCCAGAGACCTCTGCTTTTTGACCCCAGCCAGCTGCTCAGAACAAATGCCACTAAACCCATGGAACATGCCCCGCTCCCACCTGCCATGCTCTCATCATCTGAAAGGGGGGCCTGATATGCAGATGAGGGTGTGGCAGTCACAATCCAGGCTGGTGCCAAGGTAAACCATGGGTCTTCCCTTCACTGGATTATTTTTATGGGGATCAGAGCAGAGACAGGCAGTGGACTCCAACTCCTGAGACAACATCACAATAAATTGCCATGGTGGCTCTTCTATGGTTCATGACTAGTAAATCAAATCTATTGAACAATACATTTACTGCAAATTTAAGAAGTCGTTCTTCCATTTTTTAAGTGTACACGTTAAATCATGTCCAGAGTCATAAAGAACGGAGACAGCTGGGCTCAGCGTGAAAAAAAAAAAAGCAACTGCATACTTAAAGAAGTTAGTAAATTTCTTGTCCTTTGATGATGACAGAGTGCATACCCTTCCCATGGCTCTTTAGGGGTGCTTCTCCCACCCAAGCGGACTGGCATCTTTAAAGTGGTAAGTGTGCACCATCGTAGCTAATGCCTGAGTCAATTTTGCAAATACAGGCTCAATGTTAGCAGGTTCCCTCTTTGCTGCAGATTCCTGGAGTGGACAAAAAAGGAAACACACCACAGCCATCTTAGTGAATTACACAGTACTGCTTGCCCTGGTGAGGCCGTGATGAGGGATATGGGGAGGGGGCCAGGTATGAACTGTTTTTCCCCAGGAAGATTCTTTTCACTTCCTTTTCGGCCTACTCAAATGCTCCTTTGACTTGAACTGAAGTCACAGCTCAAGGTGCGCTTTTGACTAGGACACGTGAGTATGCTTTGTCTTATCTGCGTCTCTAGTCCCACCTGAATATTAACAGGGGAGCCCCAGCCCCGAGCCCGGCACTCAGGAAACATTTTAATTGAACCCATAGGTCTTCATCCACTAACACCAGTTCCACAAACATGTATCAAACCATTCATTCCTTTAACACGTAGTTATTGAACATCCACTAGTTGCTGTGCTGGGCATATGGTGGTGAGCAAGATGGAGGCAGGCCCTGACTTCTTGGAGCTCATGGTTTAAACAGGAAGACAGACCGTGGATGTGTGCTCTGCACTGAGGTTTAGGATCACCAACCTCTTCTGGGGGTCAGAGAAGCCCGAGAGGTGAAGGGAAGCTAGATTCACAAATTCTCAAAACAATCTCATGAGGTCGATTTACTTTTATTCCCATTGCCGACAAAGAATCGGAGGCGAGCATCACATAGCTACCTAGTGACAGAGCCAGGGCTATGCATGGAGAGGTAGGAAAGCACAGGGAGGAGGCGCTTGGCCCAGCCTGTGGGGTCAGGGAAGATGCTCTGGACGAGATGACATCTGAGCTGGGAGCAGAAAGAGGACAAGGAATCAGCCAAATGATGACGGCTGAGGGGATGAAGCGAACACCAGGCAGCAAACACACCAAGACAGGAATGAGTCCAGCGTGTGCCCGGGGTGTGGGGCCAGAGTCAGGGCGCAGCAGGGGCTAAGGCTGGGAAGCCCAGGCAAGGGGCTGGAGTCTGTCCTGCAGGCCACAGGGAGCCACCAGAAGGCTCCGGGCAGTTGTGTAGTGCTGGCAGATTTATGTTAGAAAAACCCACTCTGGCCTGGCAGTGTGGAGGATGGATTTGAGGAGGACCAGATGGGAAGCAGGGGGACCAATTAGCAGGCTATTGCAGTATTCTAGGAGAGAGATGATGAGGGCCTCTGCTAGGGCAGTGGTGGGTAGATGGACAAAAGGGAGCATGAGAGAAAGAAGTTGGAGGTAAAATTATCAGGACTTGGGACTGCTTGGGCATGGAGCACAAGAGGCCCCCAGGTCAGGCTGTGCCACCTGGCCACACGACACTACCGATGTAGGGCTGAGGGATGCCACGTGGAGCCAGCTGGGGTGCAGAGGCAGCCCTTCCGGGAGGGAGGGCTGGTCACAGTCCTCTCCAGGGGCCCTTTCCAAGCAGGGCTGTTTATACCGGGCTGGAGGAAGCTGTCAGCCGGGGACATTCAAGACCTGTGAGCAATGCAGACCTTCAGAAACAGGCTGGCGTTTCCTCAAAACAAGCTCACAATTCCTCTGGTAGTAGGGGAATGAATTTTCAAAATAGGGCTGAACACATCTCAGCACAGCAGGCCACAGTAGCTAGAGGCCTATAGAATTGCTGACCTCTTGTGAGATAAGAGGAGAAATTAACCCTTGGGTCTCATCCCCTGCCATTCTTCCCTCCACCCCCTTATTGTCCCCAACATGCATGCCAGCGCAGGCGCACACACACACAGGCGTGCGTGCGCTTTAGCTTCCCTAAACTTCTCACCTCCCCCAGACACACCAGGCCCTTTCACACTCCCTCTTTGCACCTGCTGTTCTCTCTGCCTGCAGAGTCCTTCCTCCTTCCCCACTGGGCAAACTGTGTTCCTCCTTCCAGCCCAATCCAGATGCGGGTCCTCGATGACTGCCCCAGGCATCCTCACCCCACTTCCCGCTGTCAAATAGCACCTTGTGATTAAGTTGCTCTGAGCTCTTTCTCCACCTCCAAGCTCAACTCCTGAGTCGTATTCATCTTGGCTTCCCCGGCAGCTGCACAAGGTCTGACCGTCTCGCCAGTGTTCAAAAACCGCTTGTGAAATGAATGAGCACAGCCCTGGAGGTAGACGAGACATCTTCCCCAGCCCAGGTCCCAAGTTCCTCATGTTCCTCTCACATCAATGAAGAGGCTCCTCTCTGCCCTCCAGGTACTCGCACGCTCCGTGGGAAATCACACCAGTGCACACATGCACACACATGAGAGGAGAGTAGCAGAGACAGTGCCTCCATTTGCCCTCAGTTCTACGTGAGCTGGTCTATTATTAGAGCAGGTCTCATAAATCAGCCTTTATTTTTATCCCCATTTTACAGATGAGGGTTCCACCCTTAGGGAGACCATCAGCTTTGGGAGGCGCTAAAGATCAGACCTGTCGAGGGGCGCCTGGGTGGCACAGTCGGTTAAGCGTCCGACTTCAGCCAGGTCATGATCTCGCGGTCCGTGAGTTCGAGCCCCGCGTCAGGCTCTGGGCTGATGGCTCGGAGCCTGGAGCCTGTTTCCGATTCTGTGTCTCCCTCTCTCTCTGCCCCTCCCCCATTCATGCTCTGTCTCTCTCTGTCCCAAAAATAAATAAACGTTGAAAAAAAAAATTAAAAAAAAAAAAAAAAAAGATCAGACCTGTCGAACATCAGTGGGGCAAACGAGCTTGCCCAGGCTGACTGCAGCTCGTGGGTCCAGATGAAGTCTCCAGAAAGCAAGGCCTTTGGTCATTTGTCAGGTGGCCTGTGCAGTCTCTCGGGGTTTCTGACGGGCTTCTGGAGCAGGAGGAAACTGACTACCATGTCCCAGCTTGTCAGCCTCTGGGAATCTTCTCTGCCTACCTTAGGCTGGGTGCCTCCACCTGTCAAAGGTGGTACTCATGGCAGGGAAATATACAAGGGAAAGGAGGGACTGGAGTTGCCATCATCATCATTATCATCATCACCACCACCATGGAATTAGTAACAACTGTTACTGTGCAGAGGCCTTATATGCATTCTCATTTTTTGTTTTCTTATTTTTTAGTCCTTACAGCACTCCTGTGAAACAGATACCGTCACCCCCACTTATCAGATGAAAAAAACCAAGGCTCAGAAAAGTTCAACAACTTGCTCAAGATCATTAGCAGAGCTGGGATTTGGAAACAAACAGTAGACCCCAGAGCCCCTACTTTTAAATGCAGCTCTGCCGAGAGATGCAGAAGGCAGGCCAGTGCCCTGTTATCCATGAAGGGACACTGTAGAAAATGAGAGGCCACAGGAAGGCCAGCAGCACCTGCTCATTGCTCGGACTCCCACAGCCCTTCCAGGCCTCTCCGGCTCCAGGCAGGGATGGAAATCTGCTCCTCGGCAGGTTAGAGCTCTGAGGAGTCCCAGAAAGCACAGGTGAGTGGGGGAGGGAGTGCGGGTAGATGAGCAGAGGTGTCCCTGCCCCCACCCCCCGGCCAGCCCCCCAGTCTCACAGTGATGGCCTCTGGATCGCTGCCTCTCTTAGATGCCGGGATCACTGCTGTTGGGAGCCTAATCTCCATTCTGGTGGTTTTGGTTGCTATGGTAATTGAATTCACTTAAAGTTGTCTCCACGCTAGTCTGTCTACCTCTTCCTGCCCATAGCCTAGAAGGGCACAAGCCCAGGGCTGAGGGCAAGAAAGAGGAGGGCTTGGTGGCCCTGGAAACCAGTGTGCTTTTCCTGATCCAGAGGTCCTCCTCAGAGGTAGAAGAGAGAATCCTGGAGAAATGTTCCTTCCAAGACTCTCTCCATCTTCCTCTTTGCTTCCTGGCTCCACTCTGCAGAAAGACGCTGCAGTTGGGCTGTAAAGGCAGGAACTGGCAACACCAGGCGAGCAGGGACACTCTGAGAGCATCTTCTGTTCCTCAGCATTTTGTTACTCCTTCTACAAACGCCTACTGAGAGCCAGCTGTATCCTAAGGCCTGCTGCTTGTCTCTGGACACAGGGGTCTCTCTGGGGGCAGCTCAGGATCCAGCGCCACCGGAAAGACTCCTACAGCACATCTCCGTGTCTGAGATATCAGGAGACTTGCCAGTCTGGGTCGGGATTGTGGAAACTCTCCTTTTCCTCCTTTCTCTGCCAGAGGGAGTGTCATCAGACTGGGCTGAAAGCAGAATGGGACCACCCTAGGCAGGTCCTGAGGGATAACCCATGCTCATTTTCTCCACCGTGCTAATGTGCGAGAGATTTTGACGTATAAGATAAATGACAAGGATGAAAGCCAATGTCAGAGAGCTGCCTGAGGCGTGTGTGGGAGTGACGGACCCTCCCCCGGACAGCCAGCACTTTGCTTGGGTGATAGGGAGTGACACAAAGAAGGTCACCGAAGATTATGGGTGATTGTATGTGCATAGGGCTCGGTGTTTTGAGTAACAGCTGGGGGAAGCAAGCAAAAGGAGGAGTCATGTAGCTTCAGCTGTGTCCCGGGAGTCATGCTCTGTGCTCTGCACTGGGACAACACCGATGACTGAGGCACCGCAGAGACTTTTGAGGAGCTCCCAACCTGGGAAGCATGACAAATGAACACTACAAAGGGTGCATCGTATAAAAGGACAAGAGCAGTGCACACTGGGAGCCCAGAGCTGGGAGGAGAGAGAGGGAGAAGGGCTGTCTGGGAAGACTGCATGCAAGGCAGGCAGGGTATATTGAATTGCATTTTCGAGGCTGAGAAGGAATTCTTGAGACAGAAAGCCCTTCTGTGCAAAGACAAGAGCATGCATGAGCAAACGCACAGAGGTACGAAAATGAGCAGCATGTCTCGTGATGGGAGCACAGGCCAAGCAAAGACAGTGGTAAGCACTCTAGCAGGAAAGGCGTGAGGACAGCAAGCCCAGCTGGGGTTCCATCCTGTAGGCCATGGGGGGCCATCGTGGTAAGAACTGTGGTTTAGCAAAACAACTCTGGAGCAGTGAGAAGGGAGGGTAGAAGTGAGAGGTCGTGGGGGGTTGTGAGGGGCCAAACTAAGGCTGTTGAATTAGCAATGGCGACAGAAACAGCCAAGAAGGGGAGCCCCAGAATCTGTGGGCCCCATGCCTGGCTGGTTGTGCAGGAGGGTGGAAGAGGTGTGCAGGAGGGAGGGCTGACAGCTGAAGAAAATGAAAGAGCCAGAGAAGTCTCTATGCTTAGAATGGAGCCAGGGCTGGGAATTCAGTGAAATAAGGAACCCAAGTGCAGCCATGTTTCAGATAGGTGGGTAAGGAGTCTGAGAAAGTCAAGGTCAAACGCCTGATGGACAGAAGGAAGCGTATTTCTAGCACCTAGGAGGGAGCTGCCTATTAGAAATGAGCATGTGGGAGTTACCGGCACAGAGGTAACAGCTGACTCTGTGAGCAAAGATGACATTGTCCAGGGAGAAGGCACAGAGCAGGGACACAGGAGGAGGCAAACATAGCTCCTTGGTGAATGGTCTGAGGCAGGGTGGTCAGTTTCCTTTGGGTAAGGTGGGGAGTGACTGGAGGCCATGGATGGTAGGAGAAGGCAGGTACGCAGCCTATGTGAGCTTCAGGGAAGATGCTACCAAGAGAAAGTTGTGAGAAATTGGTCTAGAGCAGTGGCTTTCAAACCTGAGTGTGCAAGACGCCTTGTCAAAACACGGATGGTGGGGCCTGACCCCCAGAGTTCCTGATCCACTAGGTCTCTAACAAGAGACCTCTAACAAGCCCCACAATGCAAACTGATGCTGCTGGTCTGGGGACCACCTGAATCGAGGCTGGTCTAGGTTGATAAGCCCTCACTTGAGAAGCTTCAGATATAAATTCCTCCACTCTTTCTCGTGGCCCAAGTTAGACATGAAGACAGAAAGCCAGGCTTCAGTGAAAGAGCAGAGGGGGAGGAAAAAGCGGAGAAGGTAAGGCACCTCCTTGGAAGTAGAGAAGATTCTGCTTGGGACACAGGGACGGGGAGTGGGGAGGAGGGAAGCCACGGGGCTGGCAAGAGAAAGGCAGGCCAAAGAAGGTTCAGGATTTGATGACACAAGAGGAGTGTGGCCTGAGGGCCATGACTAGGGGTCACACGAAGGGGACGAAGATGAGTTAGGCAGGATTAGAACCAGCCTCAGGTCCTATTTGGAGTCCCGGCCAAAAGTCCAGTCTCCTTCCCTGAGAGCCTCATACCTCTACCCATCTGTCCCTTCTAACCGGGAGTCATTGCCAGTCTGGCCCTTCCCCAGCACAACAGAGGCAGCTGCCTTATACCATGGGTCACCTCTCATGGGGGCTGCTCTGAGGACAAGAAGACCTGGTGCTTTTTTCATTTTTTCCCCAAGATCTCAGATCACAGAGTCCAAGACTCTATGCAGAAGATCCTGACCTCAATACTAGACACCCTCCTGGGGCTGACCCACCCTGCCAGGGGATGCTCAGAACTTGAGTCTTATTTTCTATCAGTGGAGCGAGTCCATAAAGAAAATCCAATTCATCGGTGTCCAAGAGAACATTACCAAGATAGACGAGACACCATGGGCAGTATTTAATTATGAGCAGGCAGAGCAAATAGGAGGGACGCAATAAAAATGCTAATCAGGGAGAAAAAAAAAAAAACAAAAAAACAACCCGGGCTTCATTTTCTTCTAGAACACACTAAAGCTCATCCTCCCCACTCCACACCCAGACCCCAAATGAGTGCTGCAGACCTGGTTCTGATTGTGGCTTGGTAACAGGGGGGTCTGTTTTAGCTCCAATCCCCAGCCTCTTCCTGCCTCTATCTTTCCAGATTCCCAGTTCCTAGAAGGTCCAGCCCAGAGGGAGGGAGAAAGGCTGGCTTTCACTTCAGCCAGGGAGAACTGTCAGGGAACTTGAAAAGTGAAGGAATTTATTACTCAGGGCTCGATTCCATGTTGCAGGGGACACTTTCAGAAGGGACCATCTCTCTTTCAGTAGCACATCCAGAACGGGCATGAGGAGGGAACAAAGCAGGACACGGGCCCCCTCCACCAGCCTGAATTCAGTGCACTGGGCTGCGCCTCCGGCCTGGAAGTCAGGTCAACTCAGGGCCACTTTGGGAGACACCGGGGACACTCAGCCAGGCCCAGAGCCTCGTGTTCCCAATTCTATTCAACTTGGCTGAGCTTGACCTTGGAGTGTGGCTCAGGATTTTGCAGACCATTCTGTCTCACTCCCCAGTTGGCTGACTCCTCAGGTGGCTGGGTCCTTGGTCCTTCCTGGCCAGCTCGCTCAATGTCCACAGTGCTGCCAAAGGCAGATTTATTTCTCTTGTTTCCCTTGGTGTCTCAGTTGGGCGGGGGGGTGCAGACTTCATGCTGGTGTCAGGTAAAGCTTGCTTTCTTCGCATCTGTGAGGGTATAGACACAGCCCAGGCCCTTTCCTTATTCTGGCCTCTTCTGTTTACTGGGCTCACCAGCCACCCTGGCTGGTGTCCTTTCAATTTATTGCTCTCTTGTCTCCTTAAGTCTTTTGCAGCCTTGAGCTCTTCCCAGCATTGCCAGGGCAGGAATTGCCCGAGGATTGTCTGGGATGCCATCCTGGATCGTCACCCTTCCCCGCAAACCACAGGCCCTCAACCCCTGGCTGCTGCCTCTTCCGGAAAACATACCTGTTAGATAAAACGTGTGTGTGCCAGCTCACTTACCTGCTGTGGGATCTTGCACAAGTTGCTTGATATCTCTGTGCCTCAGTTTCCTCACCTGACAAATGGAGATAACCGCATCGCCTTCCCGGGATGCGTTACAAGAATCCAGTGCAAATGCTTACAAACAGATGAGAAGCATCCCTGCCGTGTGAGAAGCTCTCAGGAAGTGTTAGCCATCAGCAGCAGCAGCATTGCTGTGATATTTATTATTGAGGTTGATGATGGTCTTATGTGCCTATATATCCAGGTACTTGGTAGAGTGTCTGGCATGAATAAGCACTCAATAATCATCGACTCGATGAGGGAATGTACTTCGAAGCTAATTTTTTCCCCAAGGTATTACCCTTCCCAGGAAAATTTAAATTTAAACAGAAGATCCGCACGTTGATGGCAACGCTTAATGCGTAAGTGGCTAATGGTGTGGTTCCAGATGTCTCTGGGGAAGGGATTTAAAGTCAGTGGTTGTTTTCATATCTAGTCAGTCAGTTAACTCATAATATAGCTAGCCCTCGTCGGTAGCTCATAGTTATCTTCCCTAAGGTGGAATCTCCCTCTTGATGCCAAAGCAATAAAGCCTTAGAAGCTAGTGTGGGCATAAAGGAGACAAAGAAACCCTTCCAGCTGCAGGAACAATATTTCCTGTATCCCCTGGGCTCCACGTCACCACAACTGGCATATGTGCTGAAGCTGTAAAGCCCACATGGGCTTGTATACTATGAGAAGGAGCATGAGTCCTGCCCGCCAGCTGACCACAGACCCTGGCATGACGGGGCTCTCAGACTCCAGTCCTAGACTCTCCTGGGAGAGCCTTACCCCTTCTCCACCTCACCAGAGAACTCTGGTAATGAAGAGTAGAAGTATTTTATCTAAATGTTCCTGGACAGCTATGCTGTGAATCTGCTCCAGGATCTTGGTTGGAAAACGCCTAGCCATTTCAAGTTCAGAGGCGAGGGGTGGCCACGGGCCTGGGGGCTGCAAGAGTCTCCCCATGATATCTCATCCTACAGTTGAAACTACCTTTATAGACATTCTCACATATGCTTCCCACAACAGAGGAGTGAGTGGGTTGGTACCTTCATTCCTTTTTCTTTCTTTTAGTGTTCTTTTAAAAGATTTATTTTTACATTGTTCAAAATTCAAATGGTCCTAAAGTCTATACAGCGGGAGACCCCTCTTCCCCGTCCATAGCCATCCCCATCTTCTTTGGTGCAGACAAAAATCACTGGTTCCCTGAGAAATGTTCTAGGGATATTTTATGCATATACAAGCAAGTATATATAGTCTTTCCCTCCTTTTCACAAATGGAAAGCTTGCTTTACACACTGTTATGCACCTTGCATTTTCTCACTCCAGGATATATTTTGGAGATTATTCGATATCAGTATGTACAGACCTACATCATTCTTTTTGTGGCTACATGGTATCCTGTTATATAAATTAGCTTATTTAACAAGCCCATTTAAGTCTTTCCACTCTTTAACTTTTATGAATAATGCTGTAGTGAATAACCTGTAAGTATATCTGCAGGATGGATGCAAGAATATCTGAACACTGGGGCACCTGGGTGGCTCAGTCAGTTAAGTGTCCAACTTTGGCTCAGGCCATAATCCTGTGGTCTGTGAGCTCAAGCCCCGTGTCAGGCTCTGTGCTGACAGCTCAGAGCCCGGAGCCTGCTTTGTATTCTGTGTCTCCCTCTTTCTCTGCCCCTCCCCTGCTCATGCTCGCTCTCTCTCTCTCAAAAAATAAATATTTAAATAAAATAAAATAAAAAGAATATCTGAAAATAAATTTCTAAAAGTGAAATTGTTTCGTCAAAGGCTTTATCCATTGGTAAATTTGATAGTTATTGACGAGTTGCCTTCCATAGATACCCCATTTTTTTAGAGATGACAAAAGTGAGGCTTAAAGGCAGTAAGTGACTTGATTAAAATAGTATAGATTATAAATAATGGAACTGGATGAAAACTAAGGGTTTTGGGGGTTTTTTGTTTGTTTGTTTGTTTGTTTTTTGTTCTCAGTCCAAGACCTTCTGGGCCCATGGGCCCAAAGAAATCAGGAACATCTAAGAAACACCACTGACTCCTAAACTATAATAAAATCTTCAGCTTCACATATTAAACATGAAATACTGTGGATTCAACTTTGAAAAAGTAGGAGCACGTATCCTCAGGGAACCTAGCCTAGAAGGAAAGAGACAAGTGAGGAAGTATTTTGGTGTGGCATACAGGAGAAGGACGAGATACAAGGAGATAAAATGAGAACATGGGAAGGGTCTTTGACCAGTTTGGGCTTCCTGGAAGAGGAGGCATTTAAGGTGACATTAGCTAATCTAAAAATTTCTTCTGTAACGTCAGTTATGACTTCCTTCTTCTTCAACCCTCATTCTTTCCCATCCCAAACCTCTTATCAAAGTCAGTGGTAAGTAGCAAAATGGATTGCTTTGTGAAAGCGTGGTATAGTTGGGGTAATAGTAAAGACTACCTACATATACTGAATTCCCACCGTGTACCAGACTGTGCTTTCTGGCTTAGCGTTAACTAGCCGTGTGACCTACAGCAGGTGACATTCCCCATGTGTGCATTGGTGCCCACATCGCTAAACTAAAACAGGCCATCAGATGACCCATAGCTCCCCACCATTTTCACATGCTATGGCTCTATCTCAGAAATTATCAAGATCACTGCAGCCCCTGCTGGGAGGTGATGGACAAGAAAGTATCCAGGACTAGGGAATTAGGGAAAGGGGAAGAAGGACTGGATAGTCCTCAAACTGGCAAATCAGCCCCAGAAAATTCCACTGCTTCCCATGTCAGGGCAAACTAATACTGACAACACCCTGGTCTTAGATTTTTCCAAGATGATTTCATACGCTATGTCATGTGCCCTTCATAACAATGACAGGAGGGAGGGAGTTAGGGAAGTACTGGTCTCTTCTGCGGGTGAGGAAACTGAGGCTGGGACAAGGCAGGCTACTCAGCTCAAGTCCCACAACAGGCCAGGGACACAGCCTGGGCTAGCACCCCATCATCTGCCCTGGTGCCTAACTTTTTCTATTCTGAGATTCCACACAGGAGGTAAAATTCCAGCTGGGAACAATTCAAAGTCCCCATGAGCCCCAGAAACCTGAAATTAAATGCCCTTTGGGTGTTGTCCCACCTCCCTCACCGACCTCCCAGAGCACATTAACTCTTTCTTTGGTTGCTGGAACCTGACCTGTATTTCCATAGAATGAGCCTAACAAGTGGTTTGGGTGACTCGGTACCAATTGATCTGGCGGATCGGCCTTTGTCTCAGCTGTAGAGGACTTCAGCATGGTTCCAGTGCCAGCCTCCACTCCGTTGATAACCTGTCCCACCCCTAGCTCCTCTGAGCCCGGGCCCTGCCTTGCCCTGCTGGGTCCTTCCTCTCTGGGAGTCCAAATCCCAAGCCCAGTCTGAGTGATCTGGTGACGTGTTGTCTATTGTCTGCAGGCTCTAAACTGTTTTGACAGCAACCTCCCCTCCCTCATCCACAATCAAAGTTGGAAATTGATGAGCCAGGTAACCTGGGGTAATTTGCTATCTGACCCTTTCCCGGGGCCTACTGGCCCTTCTATGAGAGTACCCTTATGTTCCCTTTCCTTGCAGATATGAATAAGAACACAGCCATTTTGGGCCCCATGAGGGAAGGCTCTGTCTGAAAACAGACGTGATTACTATTTCCATCACCTTTATAATCCTTTAATCACACATTTGCAGCAGGGAGTCTGGGCAGGGTGAGTCCATTTATATAAACAGAAGGAAAAATGAGGCTCTGTTCTATATGCCAACCATGCTTAGTCGAAACGTAAGATCGCTGGCCTTTCATGAACAGAAGAATGAATAATCCAAGTATTTATCCCCAAACGGCTCACATCTAAGCTGCTGGGTCCAGTGCTCACATTATAAAAAGCTTTGAGAGACATATCACCCCTCCAGGGCCAGTGGGGATGCTGGTCTGGGCTCTCAGCTCTGGCAGCGGGCTGGATGGCATGAAATCATAGGATGTCCAGGCAGGTGACTGCCCTCAACAAGGAATCTCCCGTGTCTCTGGCCCTTGGCTTCTGGAAGTATTAATATGGAAACCTGCCCCTATCATGAAATAGAATAAGGAGTCTAATACAGGTTCAAAAACCATTGTTTGGAAAGAGTCCCTAACAGATGGAAGGTTGTAGTTTTTGTTTTTGTTTTTTGTTTTCTTTTTTTAAGATGCCGGGAGAATGGGGAAGGGGTTGGGGAATGCCCCACCAGGGCTTCTCCGTGTGAAACGGAGGCTTTTAACCAGTGGCCCAGGTGGCAGAGGCAGAGAGAGTCAGGTTTTGTCCTGAGAAGGGCACCCGCCTGGGAAACATACTCTGACTCTTAATTTTAGATGATTCCTCAAGTAGAAGTCAGTCTTTCTCTCCAAAGTATTGGTCTCCTTGCACATAAGGATCTCTTTCCTGGTTTTAATGGGCCATTATTGTTTTCTACTGCTATATAACAGGCCACTCCGATTTTGTATTCAGTGGTACACAATAGTAAGCTCTTATACAGCTCATTGGTCTGTAGGTCACCTGCAATCAGCTGATCTTGGCCATCTCCATCTTGGAGAGGTTAGAGGCACCTGATGGTGAGAAGAAACACCCCATGTCTCTTACAACCTAGGCGCAGAGCGGTCACATCCCCACACAGCCAAAGGCAAAGTGAAGGAGTGGGGAAATATACTGTACTTCTTTATGCAAAGTCACAAAGCAAAGGGCATGAATAGCGAGGGGTGACAAGTCTGGGCTAATGACACAAGCCTGCTTAACCCAGCCAGATGTCCAAATCATGTTCTGTCCCGTGAAGTTCTTGCAGAAGTGCCCCTCTACTCACCCCTAATAGTCTCAAGCTGGGTTCAAAGTCTTCTGCCTGGAAGACGAGCAGGGTGGGGGAGGGAGTGGATGAGATGATGGGGGTCCTATGAAGAAAGACCCAATCGGCCCACGGTAACTTGGCTTCGTGTCCGCCTGTTCATCTTCCCCTGCGTGGAATGTGGGTACGTAAAGAACGGAAAGACAAAATTTGCAAGGAGTGGAAAACGGAAGCCACTACACTTTCAGGTCACACACCCCATGTGACTATTAAATGGGACATGTGAGGCGCAGACATGGGCGATGCTGTGCCCAGTCTCAACTGGAGGCCGGTGGATGGAGCTGAGACCCTGTAAACAATCCCAACAGTGACTTCACAGAATCTTGATAAAAGAGCGTGGCTTCACCAAGACCCGGGATTCCTCAAGCCAAGGGGGTCCAAGATATATAGACTGTTCAGTTTCCGTCAGTGCAGTGTGGCTGTGGACTCCGCTGCGGAGACAGCTGCTCCTGTGGTTTTTCAAAAATCCGTGCATGCAACTTTCCCTTCGCAGCCCTGCAGCCGTCCCCATCCCCCAAGTTAAATAAACCCCTTTGTTTTCTTCGCTGCCATAAAGCATATTATTTCACAATGTCTCATTTACAAGAGGTTACCAGAAGAAAGCTAAATTGGGATTTTGTTCAGCTGCTGATGACT